ACTAGATCGAGGTGTACTCAGTGACAGTAGCTTTGAAACTACTGCATTGAAATATTTCCCTTACTAGATCGAGGTGTACTCAGTGACAGTAGCTTTGAAACTACTGCATTGAAATATTTCCCTTACTTGATCAAGGTGTATTCAGTGACAGTAGCTTTGAAAATACTGCATTGAAATATTTCCTTTACTTGATCGAGGTGTACTCAGTGACAGTAGCTTTGAAAATACTGCATTGAAATATTTCCTTTACTTGATCAAGATGTACTCAGTGACACTAGCTTTGAAACTACTGCATTGAAATATTTCCCTTACTTGATCAAGGTGTATTCAGTGACAGTAGCTTTGAAACTACTCCATTGAAATATTTCCCTTACTTGATCAAGGTGAACTCGGTGATAGTAGCTTTGAAACTACTGCATTGAAATATTTCCCTTACTTGATCGAGGTGTACACAGAGACAGTATTGATATCAGAGTTCCTAACATTGAATTTTGGAGAAATTTGAATGTAGATTAGTAATTATGACTTTTAACTAATGATTTTCTTTATTTATATTGCAGGTTATAGAACATCTAAACCTGCACATTAAAAGCTCCGAACATTTTCGATTTGTTTGGTTCCCTCACATTGATGGTGTTGTTCTTTGGCATTCAAATAGAACAAAGAAAGTATGTATACAGTAGTCTTTTAATTAATAAAATGCTCTTTGGAGTAGTTCTTCTATTTAAATTATTACAGTGCATGAATTATCCACACAGTTTCTAACATATCTGATATAAAAAAATGTGTGGTATTCTTACACTGTTATTATTTTTTGTTTTCATAAAATCACTATAGTAATGAATTACTCAGTTTAAAAGTTAAAGAAAAAACATCTTGTATTTCTTTTTAGTGATTATTCTTTGTTTATTAATCGTGTGAGATTTGAAGGAATAATACACTATACACATTACATTTGTAGATTATTTCAAGGATGTAATGTACGTCGTTAACTGCAAGTTAAACCAATGTATATTATGTTTACTTTTTCTTTGTAGCCAATAACAAAAGTGACCAAACTTCAGCAGTGTGTTTCCTGGTTCTGGAACTATAGCATTGGATATTATGCTCTTGAGTTTTTTTACTGGCTCAGGTATAGTTTCAAATTTTGTATTTAAATTTTTTTTATTAACTTAAGTATGCTGATTTAATATTACAAACTGAAATCAGAATTTTTTGTGATATGTTGTGTTACCTCCACTGACATATATAGTTATTCTCATTCAGTGCTTCCCTCTATGTTCAAAAATTTTTTCACCTTGAACTCTTATGATCAACGTGATTCAACTGTGTCTCACATGTAAATCGTCATGCAACAACCCTCCACCAATAGGACTGCGACCCACTCTCCTAATACTTGTAACTCCCTCTATTTGATTCTACCAAATTATGACTTCTCGTTAGGCAGTGATAAAGTGCAGACATTTTTCACTTGTGCTCTTTTCATGTGTTTTTTCGTGAAGTAGTGATTTATTAATTTGCTACAGTTAGTTTTTTTTATTGATTTTATTTCTCTTTTTGGACTTATTCATGGTTTAAGATGAATTCTGAAGTTTGTGTTTTACAACTTCTGTTATTATTACCACTACTTCGAGTGCCATTACCTGACTTTGGGAAGTGCGGAATTTTCAGCTATCATTTGTCAGGAGGTTGACTGTTATATGAGGTGTCCTTTTTTTCCCGACCCTGTTCATGACGAGAAGGTTTTTGACAGTTTTTTTCTCTTCTCCTCCTACCTATGCCATTTCTTCCCATGCATTTTTTACAAAATCTGCTAGGCTTAACTCTGCCTTTTTGAATATACTTTCTCATATGTGTTTAGTTTTCTTGTTTTCACCATTTTTATGTTTTTCTTCTCTCTCCTGACATCAGAGTTCATGCTGAGCATTTCGTTTCTCAGTTGAGGGTTGGTGTTAGCATGCCTTTTCCTACACGGACTTCTGATCATTATGCTTTGGTTTATCTGACAGCTGATTAACCCTTTCTCGACTCCCAGCACTTGTAGTCAATTTTCCACCTTCATCTTACCCTTACAACTCTCCTACAGTACTTGTCCAATACATACCTCTGTCCTGGAGGTTGATGTTGCACACATCTTCTGTGCAGTTCTATCCAGTTCACCCATTTGATTGGGATCCCTCATTCTACCATTACCTGGATGTCAGTTTCCAGTGAGTGGTTTTGGATAAGAGCTGTACCAATCAACATAAATCCTGAAACAAGTGTTGGTTGTGTACCTCTTCCTCACTCAACTTGCCTCAGAATCTCCACCTCCATGTGTGGTTCATAAATAGGTGGTCCACTATCATGTGGTGAGACCCATAGGTGGCATTGAATTGTGGCTTCTGTGTGGTCCTATCAGGAGAATAATGTGGATCTGGGCAATGGTTCTTCCTCTCGCACTCCACCTCAGGATATTTTTACTGCCTGAGGCTGATGTTCTGCAGTGTGGTACCAGTCTGATTGAGTTTGATGTGACCTGCCACATTAGCATATCTCTTCTCAAATGTCAGGTTCTCAGAGGTGTGGTTTGCTGTGGATTTATGTACATGTGCCTAATACGTAGATCAGTGTGCACACGATGTCCTTTCGTTCTACTTAATTTGTGATGAAGATGGTGTGGACCTTTCTCCTACCATGGGTTGGAGGTTCTGTTTCTGATACCACTTGGTTTTGGACTGGAGTTGATTGGTTGCATACATTCCATCACACTGTAGCCACTATACACCTTGGAGCACATCAATTTTAGTTTTCTCCTGTCTGTAGATGGTTCTTCTACGGGATTGAACTTCTGGTATACAGTAGTTCAGATTCTGACCAAACCGTTTTTTTTTCTCCCATTTTGGTTGTGCTCCTCCCACTTTCTGCCCATGTATGTGACACTTATTTCCACATTGGGCATAGAGAATATCTGGTACAGAAGTGGTGCAGTCTCCCCCACGTGTTCCTCTCTCAATGGGATCACATTTCATGGGTGTTCCTCGGATACATTTTTCTCTCCTTTGCACCAGCCCTTCTTCCTGTTCAATGTGGGATTTTAGCTATACATATGAGAGGAGGTAATGTACCAAATTGGAAGTTATTATTTTTCTATAACGAAAATATATTTCCAATAGGTACTTACCTTCTCTCACACTTCCTCCCTACTGAAAACTGGTCTTTTCTGCCTAATATCGAACTGATAGTTAAATAGAATCAAATGTAGAGAGTCACATGCAACAGGAGTTGAACCACGTTGATTATGGAGTATGTGGGAGTTCAAGGCTTATGGCATGCCAAAAAATATTTGCATATAGAGGGCAGCACTGAATAAGAATAGCTATACACGTGAGAAGAGGCAAGTACCTATCGGAAATCTATTTCCAGTATAGGAAAATAATAGCTTTTTGCCTCTTTCATTGACATTTCTAGAAGGGTAGATATTGAATGACTGGAATGTCTAAAGGTCTGCTTTTGCCTTGGTGCTTGTTATAAGTACAAGTTCTAAACTCTGTACTTAAGATTCTGAAGATCAGCAAACACATATTAAAAGGGTTTCAGCATAAAGTTAGAACTTGTTTAACTCAAGAACTAAGGTAGAAGAGGTCTATAAAAATTCCTAACCCTACAATTTTTTTTTTAAAGTTTTGTCAAATGACCAAATGAATTAGCCAATTTTAAGAAAATATTATCCTGTGTAGGAAAAAAACATTAATTAAAAAATCACTTTAATGTGTTTGAGGTCATATAAAACTAGCTACTTTGGTTTTTCTTTATCCTATTTCCTGGTTTTTCAAGGGTGTAAGAGACTGTACTCATTACTGCATAATCAGCCAATTATAGTTGAGGTATTCTTTTGAATGTTTGTAATTTTTAGTGGTTTCTAAGTAAATCTGAAATGCTCTTGGCCAATCAGAGAAGTCATACATTGTGTTGTCAAGGCAACAGATATTGTTCTTCATTGTTGTATATGTGTATAATAAAACTGATATAATAACAATATAATACCGTGTAGTTACTAAGTAATGTAACTCTATCAGGTAAATTATAACTTAAGAACTAGTAGAAAGGAATATATTGTGGTAAGCAGCACTAATATAGTAATGTTTTGTGAAATCATATGAAAGATTTTAGGGAACTGTTTCGGAATGTTTGTTATTGGACAGTCTGCTTAATAGAATCTTTTTTCTCTTTTAGTACATTCTTCCCATCTTTGGTTCCAACCATAAACAACGTATTTTATAACCTGTTGTTTACCCAGAATAAAGAATTTGTTAACGAAAGTTATAAATTATTCAACCATGAGTGTCTGTTCAAGGAACATGTGAATGAGTGGGCAATTCCAAGGTAATGGAACTTAAAACTTAGAAAGTTTTAACTTGTAATTCTTAAAGTATATAAAAAAAAAATTAGTATGTGCTAAATATATGTAAAATAGATTATAAATAAAATAATTAGGGACTTGCTATTTAGAAAATATGACAACATAGCCGGCATGTACAATAGCTGTGTTCTCTAAGACGTTTCCGTTTCACTTTATGACCGTGAAAAGTATCATTTATTGATGCTTTTTATAATTCATACAGTTTGTGATCATGGATAATAAACACTACAGCTGTGTATTTCAGGATCTTTACTTCCTACTAGTCATACTGTGTTCTTGAAGATTTGTCACTAGATGTGAAGTGTGTACTAATTTTGTTTCGTACGCGTCCTTTTGTAACCATGAAAAAAATATGCTGTCTTTTCTCTTAGTTATCTGTTGATTTAAGTAATAATTATCTTTAAATAAATTCAATTTATATCCTACAAGACATTAAGATCCATTCTGGTGAAAAACAAGCAGAAATAGAAACACAAAAACATCATTTATGAAATTCCATGTTCCTGAAACAAAAGTTACCTTGGAGAAATGGTAAAATGGCTCGTGACAAGAATTAAAGAACATAAAGACTCTACAAGACTCATGAAAACACAAAATTCAGTCATTGCAGAACACGCCATGTCAACTGAAGAAAAATTAAAGAATCCTTTTACATTAACACAATAAAACTTTTACTGAACAAAGATTCCGGATTAGAGGTGAGTAACCTGTAGCTACCATTGGTTGAATATATAGAATGTCTCTCCATCAATCAGAAACAGAGATAAACCAACCAATCGTAACATGCACTAAACAATCCACCAGAATATTGTAAAGATCAACAACACCAAACACACACTGACCTGAAGATGAAAGGTTGTCTCTCCACCAATCAGAAACAGA